ATCTGTCTGTCCTTAAGTAGGTGGCCAATACCCTACCTTACAGAACATGACAGGTTTCACCGGGTCCACCTCTGACATGGTTCGCGCAACGGCCCTTCGGATTCGGCGGCGAAAATTAATGCACACACCTAATATCTTGCGCAGAAAGGCCCACGTGCTCCATTGAAATGCACTGATTACACCAGGATTCGCTGTGGCAGCCGCCGCTCAACCTATGGCCCTGGCGGCGGATTCGCCTATCGTCAGACAAGCTGTCGCCGTCTTCAGCACGCTATGCGGAATTCATCCTATTGGTTTTGATTTATAGTAAACTGTTATGTGAACTAGTGTCGCTACCGCTTATTGGAGGAGGTGCCAAGAACCAATCTGGTAGCAACGAGTCCTCCACCCGACGGCAGACGGACTGATGATGAATTCGAAAAATTTTTTATTTCCCGTGTTTTCTTTTTTTTCTCTACAATGTGGTTGCCATCATGTCCTCGAACTTCCCTTCTTTTTTCTTTTTCTTAACTCCATCACAGTAAGCCCTGAAGGGTTGCCTTTAGACATGGTAGTAGGAGAATCAGACAGCAATCCCGTAAGGGCTCTTCGCAGCATTGACGGGACCGTAGTCTCTCCTCCAGCACGTGACCCTTTCATATTGATCAGGGCCAGCACTTTCTCACTAACAGTTTTCCTTTTTACTCTAGTCTCCTTTCTTCGACTTCCTTTTCTCCAATAATTATAGTATTCTTTGCCTTATGTTGAGGCTCTCCGTGGTAATTTTCTCATTTACACCCCAGGGTTGGCTCTTTTATCCGTTCTTGTAGCCTTTCTAGTAGTGGCCCGCAGGGTCCTCTCACCCCAAACTGAACCAGTCGGATGTGTTTTACATTTTCTCTTATTCTCGTTTTACTTTTTCTTCCTTTGATTTCACAGTAACAAGAGTGTCGGGTTGGGCCCACCCGCCACTCTTATTACTGTGAACGATGTGGTCAGTTGCTGTGTTAAATGTGACAGTCCCATGCCAGCTTCAAGTTCTATAAGGTTCAGTCTAAGGTGATCAAGCATTTCGACAGTATGGTTCTCCCCGGGTAGAGGAGCTGTCAGGATTGTGTTCAGCGTTAGTTCAGCGTTGTTATAACAAGTAGTAGGGGCAACAACAATCAGGTACTGTAGTAGGTTACACGTAGTTCAAGCACATGTACGCTCCTCATTGAGAAATCCTAGAATCTTCAGTTTCTTATCTGTCCCTCTATTTCTTTCTTTCTTTTCTGTCTTTGGGTGCAATGTACAGAAATTTCTTTCTTTTACTATTATATTTTCACTTCACCTCCACTGTATCAGTCAAGAGACTTCTATGTACTTCAGATCGGTTTTTTTCTTGTTTGCGAACATATCGGCTCATTCTTTTTCATTCTTCTTAGCACCGTGGTCTACATTTTGTCAGGATTTACCCCATAATTTGAGAGCTGTCATTCCTCTTCCTTTTTCTCCTTTTTCCTTATCATCTCTGTCATTTCTTTTGTTGTCTTTACCAGGCGATAAGACGCTAGAGCTTGATCTAATCAACGTGGTGCATCGTTAAAATTCCTTCGGAAGGCCGATAAGTCTCGTTCTCATAACACCCTCGAGCGAGACCTAGCTCCGTTGTCTTCCGGAAGCGCACGGTCGACGGATTCCCATGCATTCCCCTAGCGCTCTTGAGAAATAGGATCGCACTGCATAACAAAGTCCTTCCCCGCTTGCGTAGAGCTCTCGGATATATAGCTCCATTAGTCCTCAAGCTCGTTTGGAGGTCTTGGCGCCTCATCAGCTCTTATAGATTTCGATGCCGGTTTCCCGCTTCAAGGTCGCGTCCTCAAACAGGGCTAT